AGCGGCGGTGGAGAGGGGTGGGGGTGGATGGGACGAAGAACAAGATGGCAGAACGCAGGAGAAAGAATGAATGAGATAGGGACCGTGACCAAGCTACGGCAGACAAATCAAAAACAAAGACAATCAGAAAAGGCCTACTCAGTGGTTTTTGGGTAAGTGGATTATAAGGTTCGCAAAACTAATCATCAATATACCAAGGTTGAAACACTGTGGTTATCGTTTTCAATTTCGTTTTCAAGGAGTTTAATGATTAGAGTTTTCCAACCGGGTTTCCAAGTTCTACCAGCAGCTGTTTACGAAGTTGCTTCAATCAGAATACAGTAACGAATCTGCCATGCACATGTATCGGTGTATCGGTATAACCAAAGCCCCCAAATGGTCGGATTCTAAAAGACTCGGGTAAATATCTCTACTTCTAACTACTGCAGATATAACAATTTGCTAAAAATTACAGATTTACACCATTGACCGGTGCTTGGCATCTTGGAATCAGCAATGAGAAAACAGATANAACAGATATTTCTACTTGAGCCTTTTAGAATATGAATATACTGGAGTAGCAGAGATATTGGTGCATATATATATATATGATGGCGATCAAGACTCAACGAGTAAAGTGTTACAAACAATGCGCATGAGTGTCGCAGTCATTAGTGGACACACCCACACCTACACAGTTTAGACCATGAGCACATACACTGCAAAGATCCCGCCAAACGAGGACTTTGCTATTTAACCACAATCTAGACACGCGAAGAACGGAGTCCGGGATCACAAGGTTCGAAGGGTCATTGTGTGTGGGTGAGTGGATTCAAGGGATTTGTGTAACACTCTGCTTGTTCATCTAAACTAGACGTCCGATTAACCCAACGTATACCTGAGGCAACAAAAAAAAACTGACAAAGACTCGTAGATCAAGCTGATGCTTAATAATTAGTGCGGGGCGGGAGGGGGCATCACTGGTCTGTAAGATGTACCGAACACCAAACCTGATGAGATCCAAGATTAGTTCCATCACCTCTAGTTTGACAAAATTGGTTGATGGGGTACACAGGAACGGTATCTTATCCACCTGTCTATTTTGCACTTTCGAGTGGATTTTGAACTAGTTTTCCAAGGGGAATGGGAACTCTGGTGTGTGCACGCATACAACGGAGAAGACAACCTGAGATGAACAACAATCATGACCCATTTAGCCACCTGCTTCTGTAGTATGAATCCACACGTTCAGTACAAGTTTACCTACACACCTAATCCCAATCACAGGTCAATCTATAGTGTGATCGAGACAATGGGAGACAACACTATCAAAAACAGCCACTTTTAATACTACCCATTCGCATCGTACTCCGGAGATAAATCGGTAACTTACCGTGTTGTTGTTGTTGGTGCTGTTGGGTAATTCGATGTGTATTGATTTGTTTACTGTACTGAAGCTGGACACCGCTCAGTCCG